GAATGCAGGGTCTGCATACCTCCAGTCCAGGGAGACCCAAAGTCTGCAGAGGCTTAAAGGAGTGCCTTTCCTGAGCTCAGATGATGTTCGCTCCCATTCCTAGTGCTGTGCTGGATCTTGATAGTCCATCCTTTGTATGCAGAAGTGGCGTCGTCTGCTGTAGAACCCAGATGAAGCAGGTTAACTGACACACAGCTCTTTCATTACTAAGCATAAGGGGTGCTTAAGAACAGTGTTTTCATAGAAGCTCAGGTGCTTTTAATCCCTGACGCTTCCTCAAGTGCAGTCGTCCCAGAGTAATGCAGCAGCATTAAAATGCCTGTGGAATGAACAAACTGGCATAAACTCCTCTTGGTGCTCCTGTGAAGACTGCTTTTACGGGCTCGTTCCACTTCCACAGAAGCATGAGTCAATGGCATGTTACAGTTTCAGATGGATGGTGACACATCTGCCTTGCGCAATGGGGAAAGCTGGAACAAGTCAGGCTTGGAAAAAAACAGCTCTGTCGTCTTGCTTGGTGCAGGTGCAGGAACATGACACCTTTGCAGCTCTGGGGCTGACTCTTGTCCAGTGTGGGCACATCACCCACACTGGAAGAAGCAGGAGCACTTAGAGCAGTATCCAAAGATCTTGTCAGGGCAAGATTGTTTTTTGGTGGCAGGAGAAAGGGGCTGTGGCTCCCTAAGAAGGGAAGAAACCCTCTCTGCACAACTCCCAGAAGAGCCTGAGGATGCTTCCTGCGTCTTACCAAAGCTTATTTTGGGACAGACTATGGGATGTGGAATTGGAGAAAAGTGCCAGGTCTCCTGAAGGGCTTGGGGAAATCTTTGCTTTAGTGTACAGCCCTGCAGTAAAACAGCCTGAGGAAAAGGAACTGAGCCGGAGTATACCACAGCTGTGCATTTTAAAGGTATGTTTTGTCTTGCCTTGTTGGTGGAACAGATCTTTCTGCAGGGCACAAGTATCAAGAAGATTTTGCTGAAGTTATTTAAAATGCTATTCCACAGCTAAGTGCCTTGTCCCTTTTCTGGAGCAAACTTCTCCTATAGTAGAGCTGCTGGAAGATAACTCATATATGTCCCTGACGCTTTTATGCAAAGGTTGGTATCTCAGTGTAAACAGCTGATGAAAGTGATTGCAAAGCCTTGGCTTAAATCTGATTCCTTTAAATCTGAGCCTGCTCTGTGGCAGTAACCTTTGCAGATGAGACAATGACCTCCTAAGCTTCTGGGTCTGTCTGCTCAGTGATCGCAACAGAGATCTGATGATGCTGACACTTGGACCTTCTCATCTAACTTGCTTAGAAAATGAAGTGCTGTAAAAGAATAAGCACATGGGCCAGCTCGTTTTGCTGCTGTTTGAGGTAGGGACTGAAAAATTTAGCAGTAAGTGATTGTAGTTAGCCATATACAAGTGTTTTCCTCCCAGCCAGCAGAAGTCTCCTTACCTAGCTGCTGCCAGTTAAACCTTGTCTTGGTTCTGTGCAGCTGCATGCATGACTCCCCGAGCTGTCAGTGGGTCCTGGAAGTCAGCCAGGTTGTGAAATCGGGTACAACTGGTATAGAAAGGCCTTCCAGGTCCTTAACGTGGAGCTGCTGATGTGAAGAGAATGCAAACTGGGAAGTCCATCAGTCAGCAATGCTTTATATTTTGGTAGCAGGCAGTTTGTTTCCTATGCAATTTAAAAAGTCGGAGTGTGAGAGGAAATATTTGCATAGCAAAGCTTTTGAGCAAATGCAGATCTCTGTCTGAGGATCACTGGGCAGTGTGACGCTCTGGTGAAACGTGGGCTAGCTTGGTTTGAGTAGCACCGTGTGCGTGGAGGTCTCCTCAGTGTGCAGCCAGTCCCTCCATGTGGCTGACTGTTGGGGAACTCTTGTTCAGATGAGGCTAAGTATCCTTGTAAGCAGATGAGCCAAGAAAGTATGTCATGCACCGAGCCCAGTGCTTCCAGCATACTGGAGAGAGATCTGAAGCTGAAGGAAGCCCCTCCTGCAGCTTGTTTGTAGCATTCCT